TCCGAAAACTTGACCAGAGAAATCTAAAATAATAGAGGGAAGTGGAAAACAAAAAGTATCCAGAATTATCCAGTGGATGGAAAATTAAGACATCTTTAAAAATTGTTACATTTGGGGAAGGACAAGGGGAGCTAGAACCCAGGGGATCTTGAGGAGTAAGCAGTAAGGTAGAAAATATGTAGCTAATGTGAATGAAACAAGATAGGCTCCAAGACAGAATTTTCTATCCTCTGAAGCTTAAGTAGAGACATCAAAGGAAAAAGACTAGAAATTCATTATTATGTATCCAAATTATTTTTCTTTTGTGTAGTTCTGATTTTCCCTCTACAGATACAAAAACCTTTAAGTTACCTTCATGTACATTTTTCAGAGTTTGCAATTCATTGATTTTTAGTATATTCACCGATGAGTAGAACAGCTTAGACAATTTTAGGATATTTTCATTATTTCGCAAAAAAACTTAATCTTTTTAGCTATTACCTCTTTACCCCCTACTCTCTACCTCAGCCCTCCTAAACTGAGTTGATTCTAACTTGTAGCATAGAATTCATAGAGTACTACCCTGTAGGATTTCCAAGGTCTAACTCTACAGAAGCAGGTTGTTACAACCTTCTCCTGCAGAGTAGCTGGTAGTTTTGAACCTCCAACCTCTAGCTTAGCAGCCAAGTGCTTAACCAGTATACCACCAGGGTTCCTTAACTTATCTCTTCTTCTTGTTATGTGCTGTTACATCAGTTTTGATTCATAACAACCCTGTAACCGGTTTCTGAGAAGCAGCTGGTGGGTTTGAACCACCACCTTTATGATTCAGACTAACATTATAGTCCAGTGCATTATCCTGTAGTGCCATACCAGGACTAAGCACCCACTAATGTTCTTGACTGCCAGGTCAGTTTAAACCACAAGATTGGTGGTTCAGGTTCACCAGCTGCTCCTCGGAAACCCTATATGGGGTCACTATGAGTTGGAAACAACTCGACAGCATTTAGCAACAACAAATTCTGCTTTCTGCCTCTTCTGGGTATTTTATATAAATGGACTCATATAGCATGTGGTCTTTTGCAGTTGACTTTAGTCACTTAACATAATGTTTTCAATATTCATCCTGTACCATGTGTCAAAACTGCATTCCTTTATGCACCTGCATTTTTATTTGAGTAAATCAGTGAGTAAGTTATTACTAATATCAGTATGAATTAGAAAGTTGTCACTAATGTTAATTTTTGTGAGAAATAAGGTGTGCTTAATTAATGGAGTCCTGGTATGGTCCTGTAGGATAAGCACTAGACTGCTGACCAGAAGGTCAGCAGTTCAAATACACCAGCCGCTCCTCAGAAACCTGGGTTTCATAGACAGGGTTGCTATGAGTCGAATCTAACTTAACAGCACTAAACAACAACAATTTATCTGTTTTTAGTTTATCTATGTTAATTTTATAACTATATTATTATGTCATTAGTGAGTGGGAACAACTCAGCAGATTAATCCTAAGATATTTTTTAAGTAATTTGTTTTACTTTGTTGTTGTTAAGTGCTGTCAAGTCGGTTCTGACCCATAGCGACCCTATACAGGGTTTCCGATGCTGTAAATCTTTACGGGAGCAGAAAACCTCATCTTTCTCCTGCGGAGTGGCTGGTAGTTTCGATCTGCTGATCTTAAGGTTCGCAGCCCGATTTGTAACCACTAAGGAGCTCTGGTAGCGTAGTGGTTACGAATTGAGCTGCGAGCCACAAGGTCAGCAGTTCGAAACTACCAGCGGTTCCGCGGGAGAAAGCTTCATCTTTCTGCTCCCGTAAAGATTTACAGCCTTAGAAACCCTGTGTAGGGTCGCTATGAGTAGGAACAGACTCCACGGCACACAACAACAACAACAACAGGGAATATCATATCATTGCTCTGTGTTTGAAATAGCTTCTAAAATCACTTTTATTGAAGGGTAATATTTAAGTTGTTATGTGTTACAAAGATGTAACTGTAGTCATATGGGACACTGAGAAGGAAGGAGTCAGAAGTGTTGGTTTTTGCTTTTTTAATTTGTTATTGGTACATTAGAAGCATGCACTTTCTCTACAGTCATTTTTGGTTTAAAATATTTGTTGCACATTCATTTTACTTTAGCTCATAGTTTATTGATCAACTTGACAGATTTTAATTTTTATTATTTGTTTAATAATAACATGTATTCGTTAATTTTAAACATGATAACATTGTATATCCCACCCTTAATTTTCTTATTGGTTTGTCACATGAAATCATATCGTGGGAGAGATGTCTGCATCTTAACTGCCAAACTTATTGAGAATACTGACCAAGTCAAGTTGATACATAACTTGAACTGTCATAGTCCACCCCTTGTCAGCTTGGCACCTTCTAAACCATATATCTAATCTCTAAATAAAGGTAGTCATAATGTGATACTTGTGCCTAATACAATCCCACTAACACGCATACAACCAAAAATGTACTAATCCCTTTGTATTATTCCAAATTTTTCCAAGACCAAATTTCAATCTGGGAAAAATTCTTTTTTATCTGTGAATCTAGAGTGCAAGTTGACTGATTCCAAATACAGTGGTGTAACAGGTTAAATGTAGACATTTCCATTATACGTGGGAGCAATTAGAGGAAAAGAAGGAATAACAGACACCATGCAAGTTAGAAATTCTGTAGAATAATTTACTTTGTCTCCTCTGTTCTCAGAGGCATTCTAGGCTGTGGCTGTACCCTCTAGACTCTGGGTGTTGGCTCTGCCTTCTGGGTTCTGGATAGAGAGCCCTCACCACACTTCAGCTCTGCCCTCTGCTTTGTGCAGACTTGTTTTCTTTGTCCCTTTGAGTGGTATTCCCACCCCATCGATCCTGGCAGCTGCTGTTCTTCTGCTCCCTTGGTCATGGCAGCCTTTCCCCTTCAGCTTTGGGCAGAGACCCCATCTTAACAGGAGCTCTGCTTCCCAGGATCTTTAGAAGAGGCCAGCCTGGTCTCTGCTCTGTTCAAGCAAGCTCTAGTGATGAATGCCCAGCCCCCTCCCCCTTCCACCAGTAAGCCTTAGCTGGAAGGAGTTCCGCTTTCTCACTGCATGTGTCAGAGAGCATACCTTTACCAACAAGTTCCCAGAAGCACCCTACTCTGCCAGGAAGCCTCCTTGTTCTGTTGCTGCCATTTCTCTACCTCTGCTTCTCATTATCTGTGCCATCTGTGGTGTCACAGCTCTCCTCGCTTCCTTCTGAGCCCTCATCAGAATTGCTTTTGGCACCCATAACTCCACCAGCAGTCTTTCTAGGCTTTCACTTTGGGGGCAGCTTATTATCCAATTCTGCTCATTATCCAATTCCAAAACTGCTTCCACGTTTTAGGCATCACCCCATTCCTGGTACCAAGTTCTGTCTTATTTATCTAATGCTTCTATACCAGAAACACCATAAGTGGATGGCTTTAGCAACCAGAAATTTATTGTTTCGCAGTTTAGGAATCTAGAAGTTCAAATGCACAGTGCTAGCTCTCAGGGAAGTCTTGCTCTTTATTGGCTCTGGGGAAAGGTCCTTGTCTCCTTTTAATATCTGTAACCCTAGTGTTCCTTGGAGATCTCAATACGCCTTGGCATCAGTCTTCCCCTGGATCTAGGAGCTTCCCAGTGCAGGGACCCCCAAGTCCAAAGGACACACTCCACGCCTGGCTCTTCTTTCTTGGTAGTAGTAGGTATCTCTGCTGAAGCCTCTCTCCTTTTATCTCCTGTTAAATACAAGATGTTGCATGCCACACTCTTGAGAATCTCCCTTAATCAGTTCAGGGTGGTGGTGGTGGTATTAAAGGTAGTTTTGGTTTATCACATCAAATCACTTCATGGGGGATAGGTATATCTCCATGGCCAAATCACTGAGAATCCTGGTCCAGTCAAGTTGACACAAAACCTTAACAATCATACAACTTAAGCATTTAGGGGGACTCTACTATATGTTTGTTTTGGAGGGAAATACTAAACTCTTGGTCAAATTCTCTTGATTTTTCAAATTTGGGGGATGAAACAGAGTGATCTGTAAAGTTTCTTCTAGCTTTAAGGTTTTGTTTGTATGCTTGTTTTCACAAACACATTAACTTTCCAGTGGGCACAGGAAAGCTCTCCTGAGCCATAGTCTTGGTGTGTACACAAGGATTTCCTTTGGAGAGATGCCATTAATTTTATTACTGCTCAAGAGCACTGAACTGTGAACCACAAAGTTGGCAGTTCAAACCCACCAGCTATTGCTTAGAATTCCATATAGGGTTGCTATGAGTCAGTACCAACTCAAGGGCACTTAACAATAACAAAGAGCATTAAATAGTAAGACCATAGTGGTCTATCAGCACCAGTATATCCTCCCTAGACTCATTATTTATTTTGCATGTTGGAAGCCTTTGATACGTTTTGAATCTTATAAAAAATCCCTAGTCTTTCGTGAATTCTTGAAAAGTTCTCACCTCTTGAATTAGAATTAATACTGTAGTTATTTTTTTGTTAGTATTGGATTCCCATAGGAGTATTCCTGTCACTTGTGAGTTTGCAGACTCTTTGGAGTACTGTTTCTGTGACATTCAGCATGACAGCTATGAGCATAACTAAAGATGTCTGTTTTCCTGCCACTCTCTCAGCTTCACTGAATGAGGAAGTAAAGACTACTGTGCTCTTACTATGTTTATAGAACAGAGTCAATGCTGTGATACTTAGCTAATCAAAGTGCATCTCTTTTAAGACTGACACGTATTGACAATTGTTGAAGTGCTGTGATAGATAGATACATCAAGATTCCCTACACTATTCCCTCTATATTGTGCTTTTGTTAAATTTCCATAACAAAAATATAATCTAAAAAATAGCTTTCATTCTTTTGAAATGTTACTTTTTTAAGAAGGATGTAAATATTGTAGCATCAATCTTATGATAGTTCTTAATGTAAATTTCTAGGGAAAAAACTTAGCTGTATAAATCAGTGCCACATTTAAGAATGTTCGTATTTTGTTTCAGGGACAGAATGATGCTGCTAAAATTGGAACAAGAAATTTTAGATTTCATTGGTAATAATGAGTAAGTCCTGACATTTAATAACAACAACAACAAAAATTGTCATCTCTGCTCCATTTAACTTACTAAATTGGTTTTTCTTCTACCTCTAGGTCTCCACGTAAAAAATTCCCCCCAATGACATCTTACCATAGGATGTTATTGCACAGAGTAGCTGCTTACTTTGGATTAGACCACAATGTTGATCAGAGTGGGAAGGCTGTCATAGTAAACAAAACTAGCAATACAAGAATGTAAGTATCAAAAGATGTAGACACATGTTATGGATCTATATAATAGTACTGTATCTTTCTAAGCACTTTCCATTTGAATTGTTTCACATTTTAACAACCTTATTAAACTTCAGAATAGGACCAATAAATACACTCTGTTTACTAGGAACCAAATGCCAAATGCACCAGACTGAAGTCAAGGCAGATGGATGAGGGCTGTGACACATGGTTTTAAAAGAAATGCAGAAAGAGGACATACTATCAGTCATGTATGATAATCATTCTCTTACAGTCATTTAGATGGCTGTGGTCAGCCTCAAACAAATTTTGTCACAATTAATCATCTATCATTTACTAATTCCTTTCTCTGTTTTTTGTTCCTTCTTTTCAACAAATCTCAAGAAGGTGGGACTGTTGGCTAATACTCATTTATAATGTTAATCCTCCTCCTGAGCTATGTATAATTTGCTGAGGAAGTCTTTTAAAGAGATAGAAAGAGGCTTTTCATTTTATATAGCGCTAGCTGTATGGTGATGGTGGTCGTCGTGGTGATTATGGGCCGTGAAGCCAGTTCCAACTCAGAGTGACCCTATGTAGGATTTCTGTATAAATCTTTACAGGAGCAGTAAGTCTCATCTTTTTCTTTCAGAGCGGCTGGTAGATTCCAACTACTGACCTTGCAGTTAGCAGCCCAATTACAGTGCCCTGTGCTGTCAGAGCTTTTTAATAGCTGTATGGTGGTGGTGATTGTGTGCCTTGGAGTGGGTTCTGACTCATAGCAATCCTGTATAGAGTTTCCAAGGCTTTAAATCTTTACAGGAACAGAAAGCCTCCTCTTTCTCCTGAGGAGCGACTGGTAGATTCGAACTGCTGCCCTTAGAGTTAGCAGCCCAACTCATAATCCATTATGCTACCAGGGGTACTTTGATAGCTGTATGTTGTTGTTGTTAAGTGCCTTTGAGTTGGTTCTGACTCACAGTGACCCTGTATAGGTTTTCTGAGGAGCAACCAGTGGGTTTGAACCACCGACCTTGTGGTTCACATTCCAGTGCTGATCCTACAGCACCACTCCAGGAGTCCTTGATAGTTGTATAGTGTTGGTGAAATTGATAATCAGTAGTGGGTGTAAATCAGGCTGCAAACCACAAGGTCAGCAGTTCAAAACTACCAGCTGTTCCACGGAAGAAAGATGAGGCTTTCTGCTCCCATAAAGATTTACAGCCTCGGAAACCCTGTACAGGGTTGTTATCAGTCGGAACCGACTCCATAGCGCATAATCACCACCACTACCACTGGTATTTGGTGGCAGAAGAGTCTATACAAGGGCTCCTATATTTGTAACATATACATGCAGCCACCGCTTCAGTTTGTTTTTGAGGCTGGTCCTGATGCAACTAGTGGAGATAGCTAAAATGTATGCTCTTATGGTGGTCTGCCTTTCTAAAGAATTTTCTGTCAGTTTCTTATGTGACAGCAAAGAGTCTATGGTAATGAGCAGCAATACACTCCTGATGTCATTAGTAATAATATTCACTTCTCTGCCTTTCTCAAAGCCAGACTCCTCTCAGGGGCTTGTCTATGAACCTGTTAATTTGAATATTCATTCATATTTCTTCTGGTATATTGGCCTCTACCCTTATATTTGTCGTATTGTTTGTTGGACTTAAATTGTTTTTTTTCTTCCCTTTTAAGATAGTTTCTTGTCTACTAAATTAATAGGTTGATGGAACCAAAATTACATTAATGAAGGTAGATGTTTTTGCAAAGTATCCCCCCTTTCATAAGGGTTTAAATGTTACCTAAAATGTGAACCTGATTTAATTTTCAGCTGTCTGTTCCTTAGTCTTTTTGAAATGTGCTCATCTGTTACCACTGTGGCCTTTTCCCAGATTAGTTTCCTATGGCTAAAGTCACAGAATAACCATTGAGATAATAACAGAACTGAGGTCAGTATAACTCAGTTTATTTAACCAATACCTTTCAACATTGCTCAGAGCTGCTGGATACCCAAGCACATGTATATTAGCAGGCATTTTAACTAACATTTCGACTGGTGACTCTCTAAGGTTTTCAATACAGTGTAACATCAGTAATTTGAATGCTGTAAATGATGTCAGAAAGTGTTAGGGTTGTCTTTATTAAGGTAATCAAAAGTTGAGTTGATGAGAGACGCTGTGTTGTACTTAATGAAATATGGGTCCATGACATAATTAGAACGGACACTTCAGATCATTGAAGTTACACTGTATTCTTATTTTATATCTTCTGGGATATAAAGAAGGCTGTAAATCAGAAAACCTTAGAGATCTGCTCCACAATGAATAAAAACCAACTTGCCTTTTCCTCATAGGCAGATTACCCGCTCCAGCCTTGAACCAGTGGTGTTGTGGATGTCAGCAACCCGGTATCCACTGGGCTGTCTCAATGGAGCGGGGAGTTGGCGATTGCAGGGCAGTAAATTCAGGCACCTATTAAAGACAGAGGTAAGACAGTCTTAAGGTTAGCTGAAATGCCTGCTAATGCCATTTTGTGTGGGAACCCAGCTGCTCTTAGAAAAGTTGCTAGGCCCTTGGTTAAACCTTATAGCTCACTTTTAGAATAATATAATCTCTCACTCAAGTACAAACTCCTTGAATGAGAAAATGTGATTTTGAACAGAAGCAAAACTAAGCTGATATATATAAATTATTCAGTTGTGTGACCACAAATAACAACACACTGTCATTACCAAAACTACAGACAAACAATCCTTTGTACTCCTAAAGAAGCTTTCTCATAAAGTTGGTCACAAAGCTTGTTTTTACTGTTTAGTTTTCTCTCTCTTCTTTACTTCTGGACACAGCTTTTTATTGAGGCCTGCTCTGTTTCAGTGATCTATTTTAACACAGAGATTTCTTTAGCTCACTTGGAGAATTCTCTTTTTTAAGTCTCCATTTGCATAATTTGGTAGGAGGCAAATACAGCATTTAGTTAAAAACTCACTAACTTAAAACAGAGATTCCAAAGTATGACTTGGATGCTATACAATGAAACATCTGGACTTAGTGTGCTACAATTGTCACTACTCCAGTTTCTTTGATTCTGAAATTACTTAGGGTATAAATATATTCTGGACAATAAGTTTAAAATTAAGTAAATAAACTAGGGACTCAGTGAGACTTTCCTTACAGTCTGTAAATATGTTTTTGTATATTATGTATTTCAAAAGGGTAATTTCATTATTACAATGTTCTTGTTGAATGCCATAAGTCATAGGAATATTGAAAGAATGAATTTGTTGAATCTGAGGAATATGTTTTAGGAGTTGAGATTTTATATAACTATAAATCTGTTCCAAGGACTGCAACCTTTGTCTGTATCTCAGTGGAACTTGCAACAGAGGAAAGACTGATTAGCCATAAAGTATACTAAGATTTCAGAATCAACACTTTAGGTCACAACTGTAACTAACCACCAAAAAAGAATCTCTTTTCTAACCTATATCACTTAATACAGAACAAAGCTATGCTCTGCTGTAACTTGAGAGTTATTGGTAACTTAGATGCATTCAGAACTAGTCTCTTGTTTATTAATTCAACCACAAAATACCTTATAACTTTCAATTATATAATACCAAACCAGCTGCTATGTTTGTATGACATATCAAACATATACTATATTTCTCTATCCTAGGTTTTTTGTTTTTTTTGTTTTTTCTTAGATGTAGAGCAGACAGTGGAAAAAGGATAAGGGTCACACAGGCCTTGGCTCTCACGACCCGGTCATATACTTGCCCTATGACCTTGCAGAGTTGCTTACCCCAATTGAAACTCCATTTTCTCATAATAATGAGAAAGTTCTACTGAGTATTTACTGTTCTAAGTACTGTATATGTATTGGTTCATTTCACCTATCCTACTAAGTAGGCACACTATAATTCTCATTTTATAAAGGAAGGAACTAGGGAATTTCAAGATTTAGTTATTTGTATATGGCTCCAAAGCAAGTAGGTGATAAAATTGAATTTTTGATCCCCAAAACAGCTCAAGAGCAGACAGTGTATTTGATGTTGTCTCTCAAATATAATGGTAGTTAACTGCACAACCCTGTGTGTTCATTCAGGCACTGAATGAGATAACAGGATTATCAATAAATGGCAGTAATAAACCATAGCTTTTCTTACTTTTTATAAAATGTAGCTGTTATATTTCTTGTAAATATTGTGTATTATCTCTTTGTTTCTCTGGGCTTTTTTTAGACCTGATCAAAAATTTAATGAACATATTAAGGATGATAAAGGTGAAGACTTTCAGAAACGATACATCCTCAAGAGAGATAACTCTAGCTTTGACAAAGATGATAACCAGGTAACCTAGAAGAGTTAGGTCAATTCTTTAGATACAGGACTATAACAACCATTCATCATATCCAGGTTTCATTGTTCTCTTTTCTTTAGATGAGAATACGTTTGAAAGATGACCGAAGAAGCAAATCTATAGAAGAAAGAGAGGAAGAATACCAGAGAGCTAGAGACCGAATATTTTCCCAAGATGTATGTATTATTTTATATTTTGATTTTCATATTAGAATTTATTGTAATTGCATTGTAGTACCCCACTCCCTAATCAGTAGATCACGTTTCCTTTAACCATGTTTGTTATGTGTGAGATCGCCTTGTAAAAATATTGACATCTGTCTTGTCTGTATAAATAATTTGGTAGTTTACGAAATGCTACTTTGCAACACATAAGTAAACGTTTGCAAAGTTGAAAACAAACTCTAGGAATCATTGAAAAAATATTTGAATATATATATATGATTTTTTTTCTTTCATATTTCTAACAAGTTAAAAATGTTTAGAACATTGATCACTGTCTACAAAATCATGTCCTCTAAATCCTACTTGTTAGTATTCTTTCCTTAATAAGTAATTTTTTTCCCTTTAAAATAAAGTTGATTGATTTCATAGATCAATATTTGCTGTCTACCTTATTAGTGACTACATGAAGGAAGTCTTTTGAATGTCTAATTATTGTGTGCATGTATACCAGAAGAGAATGTGTTTGATTTTACCAAAATTTACTGAACACCTATTATTTGCAATTCTAGGTATTATTCAAGTATTTACAAATATACTTCATCTGTGTTAACACTGTCAGACAGATACTGCCTCTGTATTAAAAACCAAAGACTAAGTAACTTGAAAATGTAGACCATCAGTTAAGAATTTGTAACAGTCATTCAGAAAATCTTCTTGAGCACCTATAGTAGGTGTGGTACTGGACACTGAAGAACATAGCCATACATGGTCATAATTTATCCCCAAAACAATGCCCACCTTACAGGGTAGATGCTGTTATTGTCTCTATTTTACAGATAAGGAAGCTGATGCTTCAGGAAGCTAAGTTACTAGCAAAAGGTCATAACGATAGAGAAGATGGAAGAGTTGGGATTTCTGCCCTGGTCTACTGACCTCAGAGCCTAAATGAGACATACTTGTATCACTGGCGTATAGCATAGATAAGATCTTTGCCCTTAATAAATAGTCAGGTGATGACAATATGGGATGTGATTTGTATAACTATAAAGACATGAGGGAATAACAGGACATAGCAGGGATACACCGCAGAATTAGATTGAAGAAGAGCTAGCTTCGTGGACAGCAGGGGGAGCAAAGAGTTCCATATATGAAGATAGTATCTGTTGAGACCCAGAAGTAAAGGGTCTCACATTTGAGAACTGAAAAGAATTCAGAGCATCTGTATTCTGGCCAGGCATTAAGGAAAGTTTTAGATTGGAGAGGTGAACAAGGACCCAATGACTCAGCCCTGAAAGCCAGGTGAGGCAGCTGGACTTCCAGCTAGAGCAGAAATTGTTAAAGTCTTTCTGTGAAGGGATAGATAGCAAATATTTTTACTTTTTCGAGCCTGACAGTCTCTGTTTCAGCTGCTCATTTCTGTCCTATTAGTGTGAAACAGTTATAGAAATGCATAAACTAATGGGCATGACTGTGTTCTAATCAAACCTTATTTGCAAGAGCAGATGACTAGCCATAGTTGACTGACCCCCGTGCTAGAGTGTCAGGGAGTCATTACAGAAAGAAGGGGCATAATTGGATTGACATTTTAGAGCGATTGATTGCTCTGCCTTACATTGTGTAAACATAGTTAAAATGGGCCAACATTGGTAGTTGGAAAGTTAGAAGATTTTTATAGGAATCAAAAAAAAATGATGGCTTTCTGATCTCAGTTAATAATACTAGATGAGTTTGACAGTAAATTCCATTGAGGCATAGCTGCTGTGTCAACAGCCAAAGCAGCAGTGATCAAATATTTGTTGAGTGAATGAGATGAAATCTGCAGACTGGTTGTTACCTCGAACATATGATAATGAAAGTGGATTCACTTCTTTAGCAGAGAATATTTGAATTTCAAATCATTTTGGACCACAAAATGAATGGCTTCAAGGTCTCTGTCTGAAAGTAAGCATTAGTCTCTACTAAACCAAATAGAAATTCCATTATCATTTATTTATGTACTCCGATCATCATTTTGGATATTTTGGGGTTTATTTTGTCTTTGTCTTTGTTTCTGTTTGTTTTTGGGGGGGAGGGGGGAGACGGCATGCTTTTTAAATACTATTAAATATGTCTGTTGATATCTATTGTCATTGGTTTACAGATGGCATTACGTAGTTGACAAAAGCTCAACTTTTTATCACTATTCTTTCTTCTAGTCCCTGTGTTCCCAAGAGAATTATATTATTGACAAAAGGTGAGGGAAATTTTAACATTTGTTTTGATACCTATCTGACTGATGCTAATAAAAATTAAAATGTCTTATTAAAATGTCAACAGAATCCAAGACGAGGATGCTAGTAGTACTCAGCAGAGGCGCCAGATATTTAGGTATTAGAAGCATGTTTTCAACACAGTATTGAAAAATTGAAGACTTTCTTCTTTAGCTTTTCTTTTCCCTAGCCCACCTACCCACTAGCTTTTCAATGTTTCATTTCTAAATTACAGAGGTAATAAAGATGCTTCTGGAAGATCAACAAATAGCCATCAAAGCAGCACTGAGAATGAGCTCAAGTACTCTGAGCCCCGGCCCTGGAGCAGCACAGATTCTGACAGCTCTCTCCGAAACTTAAAGCCAGCTGTCACCAAAGCCAGCAGCTTCAGTGGAATTTCAGTCCTAACAAGAGGTGATAGTTCTGGAAGCAGCAAGAGCATAGGCAGGCTTTCAAAAACAGGTATAAATATCTACCTGGAACTGTGCACTCAAAACATTAATTTTCTTAATAGTCTTGTTTTTATCTATTTATTTATTTTATCGTTTGACTTTTAATTATCCTAAAATGTAAAATTGTGCCTGTAGTGCATTGAACTCCTCCAAAAGTATGGAAAGGGTTTGGCTATTAGGATTCTCTGTCCTGGAGACAGATTTGCCATCATCAGTTAAAATACAAATTCACCTATATTGTGACATGAACTTAATCAGGTTGGGTCAATGATATGTAATACCCTGTTTGACTACCCAGAGAGAGGTGTTCGGAAAGTCTTTATTTCTATCACTAGATTGTCTATGGAATGATAAAATCTCCATCCTTGATGAGAATCTGGAATGGGATTTTTAGAACGATAGAGGACTGAGGGAATAGTAGGGGACATTGTAGAGAGGCACTAAAGACTATAGAACATCAATAGAATGATTTCTCACGTAGAATTTTTTAATTATCAGTTAATACTTTATTTCCTGCATTTTTTCATAATAAAGTCTTTTACTTGTCATTTAGAAAATAAAATTGCAGTGAGGTTTTTGAAGAATTTAAAAAACAAAAAATTTGATCTAATAATTACAGATTCTTGGAAATTTCAGTAACACGCTCCTCATTCTCCTAGATTCTTTGTTTTTAAGAGTACATTGACTCATAATATTTTTCTTCCAGTAACTAAAGAAGTTTATTTCATTTTGATGATCTTTGTAGATCTTTGTTTTTCTCCCTCAAATAACTGTAAGAACAAAACAGAACAAAACAAAACACTCACTGCCATAGAATTGATTCTGACTCAGAGTGGCCCCCTACATAGTCTCCAAGGCTGTAAATCTTTATGGGGGCTACAGCCTCATCTTTCTCTCACAGAGCTGCTGATGGGTTTAAACTGCTGACCTTGTGGCTAACAGTTGAGTGCTTGTCCTGAATAACCATGAAAAGTGACATCATCTGTCCTTGGTTTATTTGGATTAGCAAAAATGTCTGTATTATACAGCTAAGCGAAGAAAGTTGAGATATTTGAAGGTGACAAAAGTAATTTTTAGTACTGAATATAGTCATCACTCTAAATTAGTAATACTTGTAAATTGTAGTTATCACTTTACTGCATGGATATTTGAAATGTCTTAGTGTATGTGATAGGTTATTGTTAATGACATAAATTTTCTGAATATAAGAAAATGATATATGTACCAAGTAAGTACTTACATGAAAAATGGCCACTTTGTCATCATAACAAAATAAATAACTGCTCGGTTATCAGGCATCTTTTAGATACATTGCTGATTTAAAATATTCACTATTAAACTGCATTCTCTTCATAAAGGAAAAGAATATTAGTTAATCCTTTAATACAAATATTAAAATCTTTAATAGGAAAAAGTATTTTTTCTAAATGCCTAAGATAAGTTTATAACATTCTTTTCAATAGTAATTTAAGCACAGCTTAAAATAGAAGTAATCTTGAGAAGGCAGTCTGTAGAGTATGACTCATTAACAAATTTATTTCCATCATCAAAGATTAAATTTTCATCCCCATGTCACTTTGGGTTATTCAGAAGCTAATGAGCCGTCTATCATTATACATATTCTCCTCCTTTGTTCTGATGTCCACTTGCAACCATTTTGCTGAAAGTCAGTGGTCTTTTTGGTCTCTGTTTAGTAGATTTAAGTATGAAGTCAGTTAAAAGTTAATTATCAAGTTAGTTTACTAAATGCAGTGAGAAAATATAAGCTAATGCTAATATAAGTGTGTGGAATATCTTCATGTTATCTCTGTCTCCCGCTATGATAAAAAAATTGAAAATTGACTTAATACTACAGGAATAGGTTATTTGTTGTAAGCTGTGTGAAGAAATTATGCAATGAATTTAACCTTTGTTGCTTTTAATTGAGAATTTATCATTTCTGTTATTTCCTGCACTACTATTAATCTTTCTGTGTTCTTATAGATGAGGGGTTTTTGATATAAGAGGTTTGGGGCATTTGGATGTGTTAAATTCTTATTCCTGGGGGATATTTGTAATCTGTATATTCCTAGGTATTAATCTGAAAGGTAAAATGTGGGTACGGTGCTTTTTTGTTGCTGTCTGTGGCTGGTGTTACTGTAAGTTGCATGCTTTGCCTTTGAGTTCTCTGACACTTTATGTGGTCAGTTTGCTGTATTATACTTGTTCATGGTGGGGAGAGGAAGTAACATTTCACAGTAATTAAAAAATAGCCAGTGCTTTTATGTGTTAACTGCATGTTACACAATGTGAATTTTACTGTTATGTTTTTTAAAACCTGCTGCCTTTTTATCTGAGGTTTAAAAAATCGATTTTTCATTACTCCTTCCTAGGTTCTGAGTCTTCTGGTAGTGTAGGGTCATCTACGGGCTCTCTTTCTCACATCCAGCAGCCTCTTCCAGGTACAGCTCTCAGCCAGTCTTCTCATGGCACACCTGTCGTCTATCCAACTGTCAGCACTCATAGTTCTCTTTCCTTTGACGGTGGCCTAAATGGGCAAGTCGCATCTCCTAGCACTAGCTTCTTTTTGCTTCCCTTGGAAGCGGCAGGCATACCGCCTGGCAGTATTCTGATCAACCCACAAACAGGTTGGTATCCAAAGTTGGTTTATCACTTGAGCTCTCAGGAGTTATTTGTAAATTAAAGGATACTTATTAAATGTACTATCGATATATGTGTTGTCAACTTTTTATTTCTCATTGATAGTAGGCATTTCCGCTAGAACTTGAATGAAAACACTTATGCTAGAAAATGTTAAAAGACATATTTATACCTGAAAGTATTTTCCCATTGTGTCATCTATGGCATCTTCTTCTAGGCCAAGTAACAGTCTAACTCTGATCAAAGAGTAATTCATTTTCTAGAAACAAGATATCACCTTTGAAACAGCTTTACGTAACCATAAGCAAATTTACTTGATGCAATGATTTTTGTCCTTGGGGAACTACTATGTGTTTTAGAAAGAAGGAGAAAGTAGACTGCTCTTAGCTGTTCAGTAACAAAGTGGGAAAAGCCTATTACAGCTTGCCCTTCTGAATGTAGTCATTGTTTTCTACAGAGGAAAAACTGAAGAACATCATATAATAAATAAAAGTAAATGGGTAGTCACTCTAATTAATTATTAACAACACATATACGTATTCTTTTCAGTTAGCCTATACTAATTTACAGTCATTGAACATTTACTATGTGCCAGGTGTTGCGTTTGATGCTTTAAATGTATAATTTATAATTCATCCTTTTAAGATGGACCCCCCAGTTTTACAGATACAGAAACTAAGTCTCAGGAACGATTCAGAAACTTAATATATTTCACTATCTAGGATGATTTTCATAGAGATAGCATGATCTATTTAAAGATCATAGAAGTATTAGTGATTATTCAAAATACTATATCCCAATCATTTGGTAAGATACCATTAGCAATCTTAGATATTTTGATGACCTCTGTAACAACATACCAACTTAGCTGATGTTGTGATCCCATCGTCATGGCAGGAGTTGGATGAGGTTGGTAAAGGTGGGCACATTCAGGTCTCTCAGTGGCCCTGGACTTTTTCTTTTGTTTGTAGTGGAGGAAAGCATGGCTTCTAGTTCATTTACCTTCAGGTTTCTTTCACATCTCCTTTTTTTAAGATAAAATATTTAGACTTTTGTTTTCATTGTAAGAATTGCATTAGCATAGATAACTGGTGTTTTTTTTAATCAATCAATTTTTGCTTAATAACAATTATCCTTCATGTGTGTTGCATTACTAAACTTTTTCCAGAGCTGTATATATGATTTAATATTTTACTATTTCCTACTATTTTTCTTTTGAAAATATTAATTGATAGGTTCTTGAGCATGAACAATTCAGTGGAATAGAAAGTGACAGGGAAGTTGGTCACCCTTAAATTGAATTGTTTTCTTAGTTTTAAATGTGTTCAAAGTGTGATCCCTGGGTTTTTGAGGACTGTCATAACATAGGTACCTCTTTGCAGACAGCCTTTAAATTGCTTTTGACAGTGCTTTCAAATGTACCCTTTTTTGTACCCTTTTTGCTTCTCCTTTTAAAAAATATTTAAAAATCAGCAGATAGCCCACACAATTTGCTTTCGGTAATCTATAGCCATATCATTAAATTGTCAGGAGATGATTTTACTTTGAAGACCTTTTCCTTCATGGTTATGATAGAGTAGTGTAGTCTCATGGAGCTCTGGTGGCACAATAGTTAACACTTGGTCCTAACCCAAAGATTGGTGGTCTCAAGCACACGCAGTGGCTCCAGAGAATGAAGATCTGGCAGTCTGCTCCCAAATCAAACCCATTGCCTTCAAGTTGATTCTGACTCATAGTGACCCTAAGGGCAGAGTGGCAGTGCCCTGTTGTTGTTAAATGCCATCAACTCAGTCCCAATTCATAAAGACCCTGTATAGGGTTTCTGAGGAGTGGCCGATAGGTTTGAACCACCCATCATATGGTTAGCAGTCCAGTGCTAATCCTGGAGCACTAGGAAAGAAGACATCCACATCTTTTTTCCTTGGGGCAGCGAGTGGGTTTAACTGCCAACCTTTTCAGTTGGCAGCTGAGCACTTAACGATTGTGCCACCTTTGTTCTTTTCTGTAAAGATTACAGCCTAGAAAAACCCATGGGCGTAGTTCTACTCTGTCCTGTGGGGTTGTTACGATACAAATTAGACTTAACAGCACCTAACAACAGCCAACATAGTTGTCCTTCCCTAATACTATCATGTGTCGTAACTTTCCTTAGGAGGGCTTACCATGGAAAAAAGAAAGTTCTGAAGGCAATTTAAGTAGCTATGTTCCTCTGTATTCTTGTCACTCTAAATGGACAGTTTATTTCTCATAGTCCTTTTTATATTTTTCTTTCTAATAATATGTAATAAGAAAAAAAGATCTGTATCGGAGAAGAAAGTCTAGGAAAAAATATCCAAAATGTTAGTAATTTCTTTTGTGTTTTGGGGTTCTTTTTGTTTTGTATAGTAAAAATCTTACATTTTGTATTAAAAGAAGAGTTGTTTGGAATATATGTGTATGTATCAAGATTGGAAGTTATTATACTTAATTAGAAAATGCACCATTGCTGCATTAATTTGAAGAAATAAGAGCAAATCCTCAAAATCAATACAAAATTTCTCTTTTGTTTTATCTCGTCTCTATGAACCAAACTCACTGGAATTGTAAAGGAAATATTTTATAAAATTACTTGGAATTTAAAAGACATCATAACTCTTCAGAAATTAAAAAAACAGGAGGACATGCCATCAAATTCACAGTTTGAAATTGTGGCTATCATTTTAATGTTCATCAGGTCTTAATTTTATTTAAATTATATGCATGTGGCCTATAAAGTTGGTGTTTCCCAACACCCAGCAAAAAAAAAATGATTTTCCAGAATCCAGATTTTTTTTCCCCCCCTTTAAACCAAAACATGTTTTACAGGATTATTAGACCACAGTCCTGTAACTGAATCCCTTGGGCACAGTGCTTTTCAAAACCCAGAGGCCATCACATTCAGTCTAATGTTGTGCATTATAAAATAACCTTAGTATAGTTAGGTTTGCAGGTACCATATCAAAAACTTCCACAAAACACTGTAATATTTTCTCTAAGTTTGGAAACAGAAAACTGTTAATACCTTTATTCAGATCAGGCTTTGCTTTTCAATTTAAGAAAATCTTTTGCTTTTCAGAGGCTTGGGGATTTTAGAATTGTGAATAAGGGATTTTGGACATGTATTACAATGTTTATTTCCTATTTCCTTTCCTATCTGTTACAAATTATTTTTTCCTCCTTTTTAAATGTTTCAGGCCAGCCCTTCATAAACCCAGATGGGAGTCCAGTTGTGTATAATCCTCCTATAACTCAGCAACCAATCAGAACCCAAGTGCCTGGACCTCCACAGCCACCTCTGCCACCCCCACCACCTCCACAACAAGCAGCCAATCAAATGTTCTCACAGGTGCAAATCTCCATGATTACATAATACTAAGTTCACCTACCTTTGCATATTTGGGACTAAATTCACTAATAATAATTAAGATAGCTCAAGTAAGTATCTCCTAGAACTTGAATATTTTGTCAACAAGGATGTCCCACTCACTGCTCACAGGAAGGAAGGTTAACTTCAAGAGTTTTTCAGCTAATGAATACTAAATATATGTATTAAAGGAAGGAATTTTCTGTTTCATGGGCTTATTTGGTGAGTATTTTATCCTCTTTTCACAACAACAAGAAGAAGAGAAGAGGAGGGGAAAAAGCCAAACTAGCTTCTTCATTGCCCCAATTAGCAGAATGTGTTGTTTTAGGATTCGTCAGATGAAGCAATTAACAGAACCTGAAGTGTATTGCTCAAATTCTACTGAGTACTTTCCATCCTTCTACCCTAGGAGAGACAGAGGCAAAGAAATTTTGAGCTAGAATTCATTAACGCAAAACTAATAATATCTTGAATTCATATAAATATTTAGAATTTTCACATACATTTTCACATTCGTCTTTTTCTCTGAAGATTTGTTATCCATCCTTAGAGAACTTGGTTATACTTGTGTAAACTCATTTTCTTTCATTCTAACTCTCAAAGATTGTGTAACATATCCAAGACTTTTTAATACAGTTATTGGGCCTCTTTTTTCCTCGTTGTTGTTTTAGAAAGTGCCGGCGAGTCGGTTCTGGCTCATATGACCCTGTCTAGGTTTTTCTAGGAGCAGCTAATAGGTTTGACCTGCTAACCTTATTGTTAGCAGTCCAGTACTTATCCTAAATATTCTACCAGTTTAAAAACATATACAATAATTTCTTATGAAATGGTGATAAACTGGAGCTGAAGAAATTTCATGTCTTTTGTTCAAGTTTTATCATTTGTATTGCAGGGGTGAAGAACTTATAAACAGTTTGATAAAAGGTGCCATATGTTGTGAAAGGCATGAAAATGCTTGTAGCACTCATTGGCAGTGAAGGCTCTTAATTCTGGTCAAGGCAGTCTATTTTAAGTAAAAAGAAATAGAAGTTTACTCTACGTCTTAAGACCATGTAAATGAATTCATACACATAAAGGTCATTGTCAAGTACCTTGCAATTCAAACTGACTTTGCGTTCCAGCATATTAATCTGTAGTGTCACACCAGGACTCCGAATATAAATACTCCCGTAGTCCCTTCTCAACCCCATTTGGGTACCTACACTCAGGTACATATTGTTGTTAAGTGCCATTGAGTGGATTGTAACTCATAGCCCTGTATAGGGCTTCCATGGAAGGAGGTAGTGGGATACGTGATGTTAGTTTTACTGAGGAGATTGCAATCGAAGTGTAGATTTTGTTGAATGTAAAATTGATGATCTACTCTGTAAACCTTCACTCATATCACAGTTAGGCTGAAAAAGCAGCTTAATGAACTGTAGTTAGAAGGTCCTGGGTTATGCATCAAACTTCATTGTTCATTTTCCTTCATTTCAGATAATGTATCATCAGGTGTAGAAATAGAGAATAATGAACAAATGATGTTCAGTAACTGTTGTGCACATTTTGAAATGATTCCTCCATGAAAGTTCAAATAACCAAACAAATACATTGCTATGATTTACACATCCTTCAAATGAGCTACAGTTCTTGAAAATATGAACAATGTGAAACCAATTATTTTAGGTGAACTTTGTTCTGAAGCCAGTCATAGGAAAAGGAAGTACTAAGGCTTTCTCAGTTTTAAATGGCGTCAGAATTTCACTTTGTTTAGTAAGTCTTCTACCCCAGTATTCTCATTGCCATGTGACACTTTGGGAGACATTCATTCCTGCCATTGGTGCTCATAGTGCACTTCTTTTTTTCCCCCAGCTGACTAAAGAGTCACCTGACATTTACTTAACAGGTCAAATTGTCTAGAAGAAAGTTAGATCCTAATGGTTGTCTGCTAAATAACACAACTAGTCTGGTGGTACATTGGTTTAGTGCCTGACTGCTAAACAGAAGTTCAGTGGTTTGAACGTACCCGTTGCTCTATAGGAGAAAGATGCTTCAGTGTGCTTCCTTAGAGGTAATAGCCTTGGAAATCCTATAGGGTAGTTCTTCTCTGTCCTAGAGAGTAGCTATGAGTCAGAATTCAGCTCAATAGCTATGGGTAATGGGTGCCAATATGTAAAAGTCCTAAAGTTATTGTCCTTCATTTAGTGCAGTAAATTCTATCATCCATTGGGAATCTAGCTTATTTCTAACTGGATGTTTCTGAGGACCCAAAGGCTACTCTACCTATTTTTCAGCCTTTCCCTTTTGGTGGTTTTACTTAAATTCTAATTTTGTGAGGGAGGGGAGGGCTAGATTCTAAACTAATTCAAGCCTTTCATTCTTCAAAAGCCATCGTGTTAATTTTCTAATAAAAGTTCAGCTCATCCTTATACATTTTTTTTGCCATTAAAATTTCTCCTTATTTAAAGTATGCCATAACAATCTTATTAGTTGATTTTGCATTTTAATGCATTCTCTTTAGAAATACTATCCAGAAGGATATTCGTGAATATACATTTTAACCAAAAGACAAGATTGCGTAAGTTCCTCCACTACTTTCTTACATGATTAAAGGCCACTTCCTTTTCCTCAGCCTGATTGCCATGGTTAGTGTGGTAGTCTTTGAGACAATGTGTATATCATAATTTACAGTGAAAATGAAAGATTGGAAAATTAATCAGATGCCAGTGATAACATTCAGATAACCAGCCACATTCCCCAAGATTTAAAAATGATTTAAACTTTTTTCATTTCTTAAGATACCTGTTTTCTGAGGTACCCCAGGAAACAGAAAAGTTTTGTTTTTTGTCTTCTGAATGCAGAAGTTTTTCACTGCCAAAGATTTCAAGTAACTAGTTTCTCAGCTCCTGACATGTACTTTCACATGCTTAGGTGCGAGGAGAACATGTTTAATCTTCCTGTATAAAAGGTACATGCTCCTGTGTGCATGTTTGTATGTACGTGTAGAGTATTTTTTAGGTTGTCATTCTTAATGGTACCCACATTACATTTTTCTTAAAAAATTTAGCAACTTCGGTCTCAAAAGAGTATTTAGTCATGCCTTATCATGTGGAGAGAGGAATTGGCAAAGATAATTAGTAAGTCCTTACTGTGTAGTAATGTTGCTGTTAAGTGCTGTCGAGTCTGTTCCGACCCATAGCAACCCTGTATAGGGTTTCTGAGGAACAGCTGGTGAGCTTGAACCACCAACCTTGCAGTTCAAACGGCTTTGCAGTCTGGCGCATTAGATGAAGTTTTTCTTTGCTATTTAGTGTTATATAGCTGAATAGACAAGCCCCTTCACAGGAAGTAAAGATAAATGCTTTTTTTGCTTTTACTGACTTAACCCAGGATTCATGCTTCTTGTTGTTTTTCATTAAATGCTTTTAATTAATGTATGATAAGAAGTATGTTTGTCCCCAAAGATCATTGTAATTGTATAATAAATTTTGGCATTATTTATGCTCTCAAGAGTTTTACTATCTAGAGTTTCTTCATTTAGCATTGTTTTTACCATTTCATGTATTATTTCAAAGATGACATTAGAAATATAGTTTAAGCTGTTATCCTCCCCTCCCCCTCAAGAGGACATAATGTTCTATTTTATGTAATTCTTCTCATTGTATTCTGACATTAACATTGTTTACCAACCTGTTATTCTTTAGCCTGTTCGGCCCCTGCAGTCCTCGTCACAGCCTGTCCAGTACTCGGCAGCCCCTTACCTGTCCCCGCTCCTGCCAGCTTCACCCACCCAGCAGTACTCCGTGGTACTGTCTCTTTTCACCTTACGTGGTGTTTGTTGCTGTGAACGAAGTGTGATGGCTGTTCATGAATGAGATTGTTATATGATCTTTGTGCTTTTTTTTTTTTCCATTTTTAAAGTCAGGATACATATGTACTTATAAACTCTGAATAGCCCATATTAGAGATAATTTATTTACTCTGCTTCATAAGATAATTTGATTGTTTGAGCCCTAACATGTTTTAACTTTCTCGTATTGAAATAATTTTCAGACTGACTGTTCTAATCCTAAGAGGTGTTAGCTCCTTTTCTCACCAATGTGACAGGTTTTGTGCAGTCCTGGGATGTGAATGGTTGGTTATCTGGGTCTTTGCTCTCTCTTTTCTTCTACTACTATGGTCCAATAAACTCAGCACCAGCTATTAGGGTAAATTGGGGCTCACAGCTGTAAAAGGGCTTTCTCTTCAGTGCATTTCTAATGAGTTTCTAATATGACTTTAAAGTCATGGTGCCTCTTCTAATACAAAGTTATCATGCTCAGGAAGGTCTCAGACTTACCTACCACTCCCACCTGCTGGCAGTGTGACCATCTACATAGTTAATCGGCATGTGAGATCACTCCTACCCAAGTATTAAATAAATGTAGTTCTTTCCCTTAAAAGGGTCTCTCTAAGAGCCTATATATTTTTCCCAGTGATACAGTTATTCACTGTATGGTGCTATCACATTTTGAATTTCCTTTCTAAGTCACATTACGTGCTATATCGGAAAATCATTCTTGACACTTCTTAGTAACATTTTGCACTAACAGGGTTTTTTTGTTTTGAGTTGGAACAACCTTATACACCAGACTTGGCTCTGAATAATTTTCAAAATTCACTTCCCATCTGAAAAGAAAAAAAAAAAAAAAGAGAGAGGTTGCCAACACTGAGATTGAAAACACTGTCCAGAAGAGAGAAAGACTTCAGAGTGTCCTGAAAAGTGGCAGAGTATTGAAATACAGTAATAATGTCTTCCATGGTGACTCTGACAATGGTGTATAGCTGTGACTACAGTATTTCTTTTCTAAACCTTGGCCTTTGTAATTACAACTAGGAGCTCTAGTTTTCCTTTTGAAACCATTCATTGAATTAGACTTGTAGTGCTAGAATGTATCAGAGCAACCATTTGGGACAAGTGAAACCACATATTGTCAGTCATTAAATTAGTTCCCCTTTTCAATCTCTTGTCTTCTCCATAACTTTAATTTACCTGGCAAACCCAGCTGACTATAGGAATATTAGAGAGTCTATTTTGATTTGACAACTCAATTGCCACAATTTTGTAAGTCATTTTTTCCCAAAATTGTCCTCTTAGCCAAATGTGATGTAAGAGGCCTTTAAAAAGCTTATGGGAAAATTCCACTATGTTTTCATTCCGTTTTTCCACAACTTTTTCAAACTCCCTTGTATCTTGTTGCCATCGGTGGCTCCGTAGAAGGAGGGCAATTCCATTTCAACCCTGTATTGCCATTGTAGTGAGATTTTTCTGTGCTTGTAAGACCCCTTAAATCCTTATGCTTTGAGTCAGAGAAACACTTTACATGGTGTATAATTCATAACCTTAAATTGTTTCGGCACCATTGACTACGCACCCAAATAACAAGTGCATTAGGAAACTTTCATTTGGGTTAATTTTATGTTAACATCATCTTACCTCAGGAACAGACTGAAAATGTCAGGGAAGAAAAGAATTTATGGCCAAATTATTTTTGAGAGGGGACAGGGATGAGTGAATTTTTCTACATCCTAATGGCATCATGTTTATAAAAAATTGCTTTAATCTTAAGTAAATGTCTCTTTGTTTTTTTGATGTGAAATGTTATTATGCCTTACTCTTTACTGCATGTTATACATTTCCATTAAATGTGTTTTTAAAATTGTTTATAATGACAGCATTGTAATATCCCAGCCTTCTTCCAATAGAGTTCTTATTTTCTTGAAGCTTTTTTTATTAAAAGCATGTCTGTTATAATAGAAGATTTCCATACTCTATATTACTGCAGTTCATTTGGAAATACAGTAAATATTTTGCTATGATAAGCTTGACCTACATAGAGAAGTTAATACTCCAATTTTCTTTCTTTTTTGTTTTAATTTCAAACAGGACAACCTAGGCTCTCAGTTTAGCCACATGAGTCTTGCCCGCCAGTCATCTGCTGATGGTTCTGACCCACATGCCACCATGTTCCAGTCCACTGTTGTTCTCCAGCCCCCACAGCAGTCTGGTTATATTGTGGCTGCAGCAGCTCCCCAGCATCCTCCACCGCCACCACCACCTCCCCCCCTGCCCCCTGGGCCTGCAGTCCCTACGGCCAGCTTCTCAGCCTCTGGTCATCCTGTCAGCCAGCCTGTTCTCCAGCACCAGGGGTGTCTTCAACAGTCCTCACCCCAGGTACGTCCAATTTTCATATTCTCTCTCTCTCTCTCTCTCTCTCTCTACCCTCTATTTAGTGTCAGTTTTAACTTCAGAAAGCTTATTTTAGAATTTGTATTAGAATTTGTAGTTCAGAATATTTTCTTATCTTTTTCGTGACTTTATTTTTGACCCATTACTTATTTAAAATGTGTTGTACAACTTCCACATACAGTGGGGCTTCAGAAAATTTGTGGGAATCTTTCGTTATCTGTTTATTCCATTTTCCCTAGAACTTTTTGAAACCCCTTTGTGTTTTTAGGAAATTAATGCTTAAGGGAAGGAGCCCTGCTGGCACTGTGGGTTGGGTGTTGGTGGTTCAAACCCACCAGTTGCTCTGTGGTAGAAAGATGAAACTTTCCACTCCCATAATGATTTATAGCCTCAGAAACACCACACTCAAAAACATGTTTTTAAAAAAAGGGAATTAAAACATAAAAATAAAAATAGAAAATTTAGACTTTAGTTCTCAACATAAAACTCCATCCAGGTCAAGACACCTTTTTGTAAGTGATGGTCATTAAGTGCCATCAAGTTAATTCTAGCTCATAGCGATCCTATATAGGGTTTCCGTGGGGCAGCTGGTGGGTTTGGACTGCCGACCTTCGGTGCACAGTCCATTGCTGATCCTACAGCGCCACACCATGACTTATTTTAATCTGGCCGTTTAATCCATCCCTAAAGAACTGAAGGTTCTGGAAATTTAACCATGCCAGTGCAGTCATTTTTACCTTACTCACTGAAGAAAGTTGGTGCCCTTTAAAGATTTTTTTAAAGATTAGCAAACGAACGGAAAGAACCAAATCAGGACTATAAGGTGGGTGCTTAATGATTTCCTACCAGAACTCTCACAAAACCGACCTTGTTTGAGGAGAGGACTGAGCCGGGAGCATTGTGGTGGTAGAAGACGGCTCTGGTGATGCTTTCTTGGGCAATTTTCTACTCAAACTCAGACTAACTTTCTCAATACACTCCCACAATAAACAGATGCTAGCTCCGGTAGCGTAGTGGTTACGAATTGGGCTGCGAACCGCAGGGTCAGCAGTTCAAACCTACCAGCTGTTCCACAGGAGAAAGATGAGGTTTTCTGCTCCCATAAAGATTTACGGCCTCGGAAACCCTGTATAGGGTCGCTATGAGTTGGAACCGACTCCATGGCACATAACAATGGCAACATCGTTCTTTGGCCCTCCAGAAAGTATACAAGCAAAATGCCTTGTTGTTGGTAAGTACTGTTGAGTCATTTCCCTGGATAGCGATGCTGGATAGGGTTCCAAGGACTGGTGGGTTTGAACTGCCAACCTTGTAGTTAACAGTCTTATGCATAGCTTATCCTACAGTGCCACACTAGGAAAGCAAAAGGAGCATCCCTCAAAATTATCGCCTTGACCTTTGCTGATCTGGGCACAACAGTTTGGGTACCCATCAAGCATTTGCACAGCTTTTAATTTTTTCAGTCAGAATTGTGCAAACTAAACTAATTGAGATGTCTGTCGTGTTAGCTGTTTCTGCTGCTGGTTCTGTGAGGGAATGAGCAAGATTGTTTCCTCACAAAATGACGTGGATGGCCTCCTGTTGCAGGTTTCATCTTCAATATCATCTCTTCCCTTGTTAAGACAAGTCATCCATTTGGTAACTGCTGATTTCTTTGGGGCACTATCCCCGTAAAATTTTCCTAAAGTATCAGTGATGTCGCTCTTCTTCCACCCAAACTGCACCATAAATTTGATGTTTGTTCTTGTTTCAGTTTTACCAGAATTCATTGTTGCTCTGATAGGGACATTTCAAACTGATGCCTCAAACTAGTCCTGTTCTAATATGTTAAACAAATTAGTATGAGTTTATTTTGGATGGTACAAAAAAAAGTGAAATCCACGTGTAGTTTTTCACAATACACATTTTCGATGAACTTTTTGGAAGATACCTCATGTAGGTGAAGTTTGCCTGACTTGAATGTGTAAGCCGTATCTATACACTTAATGGAATTATTGACTTGGTTAGATTGAGGTATGTTCCATCTTTATGTTCCACCTTATTTCCTCTATTGTTTCTTCATTTATATCCCTTTGAATTTGTGTGTAAGGGAGGTTTCTCTAAGGACAGTTATATGTGTATCTTTAGCTTATCATTAAAGCATTCGACCCTAACCTGGAGGTTTGCAATTTGAACTCACCAGCTGCCATGGGAGAAAAATATAACAGTCTGCTTCCATAAAGATGTTTGCCACGTGTTAACATGGGTGACAAGCCAGGCAATATACAACAAGAGGGAGGTTAGCAGTGGAAAGATGAAGGTAGTGGGAGACACAGGAAAGGAATACAATAGTTAAAGTGATTAGAGGTAAATGCTAATTGTTGGTATGTAGAAGAGATTGCAACCATGTAATGAAGTAAAATGTAAACCTTCACTAATGGCAGTGGGGTTTTTCTGGTTTAACGTACTGTTACTGCAGATAAAATATAAAAAGTACCATAAGATATAATTCCTGGTGTGGCACTGCAGGATAGTGTGCTGGACCGCAAGGTCAGCTATTCAACCCCACCAGTTGCTTCTTGGAAACCCTATACAGGTCGCTATGGGTCAGAACTGACTTGACAGTACTTAACAACATAAGATAGAATTCCATTTACCCTCTTCCTTTTCTTTGTGCTATTGTTGTCATATGCAGTTGATTCTCATTATTTCACAATGCTATATTTGGGAATTTACCTGCACAGTGAAATTTATCTGTAACTCCAGATTCAGAACTCATGCACTTTCACAGTCATTTACAGTTATGTGCAGAGTGTGGAAAGGGCGTTTGACTTGCCCAGCTTATTCCCAGGTCACGCTGCCTGCTTGATTCCGCTCTCATACTGTGAATAAGTGTCTTTTTTTATGGTCTGTTTAGTTCTGCATTTTCACATTTTTGTACTTTTTGTTACTCGTCTTGCTGTCTGAAATAGTCTTCAGATGTAATGTTGAAGTGCTGTCTAGTGTTCCTAGTCATAGGAAGCCTTTGATGTGCTTTAAGACATATGTTAGCATCCTTTAAGTATTAGTTAAAGTGCTGTTGGCCTTGAGTTCAGTGTTAATGAATCAGTTTATAAAAGTAAACCCAAGTGCAGGGGAAGGCAGACACCCCCAACTAAATAATTTTCATCTTGTCTAGATGAGTCTGGACAAAGGAGATGGGGATAAGATTCTTATGATTCATTAGTAATTGTTACCATGACTAATTGTGACTGTCACAACTGTAAAGGTAGAAGTTTCATAACAAAAATGGGGAGTAGTTAATCTTACAGTCCAGGAAAAGAGGACCCTAGGACCATCAAGGGAGAAGAGCACAAGTGGAATGTGGGCCCTATCCAGAGAAGCAGCGTCACCAGAGATGGAGGCAGAGATGAGGACTCCAGACTCATGGAAAGAGAAAGGCTGTGTGCTGGTGGCCAGGAGGCAGGCTTGCAGAATGTGTCCTTTGGTTGTTTAAATTATTATATATTCCTGAGTGTTTTTGTGTATAATCATCCCTCCTCCCCCCACCAAAAAACAAACAAACAAACATGGAATAGAAGCAATACTGTTGATTGATGACGCACAGAGGAGATTGTAATCATTGCAATGAGACGACGAATGTGAAACTTATATTCCCCCATGTAAACTATCACTCAATTCACAATAAAAAACTTAAAAAAAAAAAAAAATAGTTCATGGAAAAATTTCACTTTCCACCAAGTTTCTGAAGCTGCCTCTTATTATTTATACACATTCACAGACCGTAAAAAGTACAATAATGAGTAAGATTGCCATATCATTTGCTTTTACCTCCAGGAAACATGAAGGGATTCCATACGTATTGTTTATGTCCTAATGTTCTAAAGACAGAAAAACTTGCATGTAACTAATAAATGAATTAATGATTCTATTAACTTGGGAGATTCCTGGCTTATTATTGGTCTAGAAATTCTGGTTTCCAGATGAGATAAGCAGTTCTAAACTTTCCACCAATTTCTCTTCTTTTTTTATCAGTAACCCAATCAGAAAAGCAGAACCCGAGGGAATCTATGTGCTTCTTAACGTTAACTATTAGGGTTAATTGCTCATTTTCACCCCATACTAGGTCAGATCAGTTTAAGACAAGTTTACAGGTGATACAAATCGCTTTGGGAGGAAAATTGAATGGCACTGGTCTGGTTGCTGTACGGTACTGTCAGTTCCAACTTATATTGACCCTGTATAGGACTTCCAAGGAACCGTTGGTGGGTTTCAACCACCAGCCTTATGGTTAGCAGTCCAGTGTTTATTCTGCAGAATCATACTGGGATTAGTCTTGCTAGTGTTTTAATTTGCATTGGAAATAGGAGAACAGTTGAAGAAGGAACCACTAACCTATTAACCAACCAATACGTGTGAATGGATAAGCTTTGTTAGTTTATACAATAGAATGCTGTTCAGCATTTGAATTGAATGAGCTAGTATTTCATATGTCAATTTTTTAAAGTCTCAAAAATGCTAATTGAAGACAATAAATTACACAATGTTATTCAAAGTAGCAAAACATGTCAATTTTTTAAATACTCAACAATACTGTGTGTATGGATAATAGTTGTATAGTAAATTTTTTAAAGCACCTATAGATTATGGTTTTTCTGTGTTAGGTATTACAAAGAGTTGATGGGATGCCCCTTTAGCTTTCTCAGGAGTGTGTGTTTTCTTAAGAGAGAGAAAAAATCTGAAACCAGTATGGTAAAAATGTTAAACTACTGAATCTGATTAATGGGCTAATGAGTGGGTGTCTTCATCTCATGTGCTTTGGACATGTTATCAGGAGGGAGCAGTCCCTCAAGAAGGACTTCGTGCTTGGTAAAGTGGAGGATCAGCGAAAAAGAGAAAGACCCTCGAGATGGAATGACAGTGGCAGCAGCACTGGGCTCAAGTATAGCAACAATTCTGAGGATGGTGCAAGATCAAGGAGTGTTTCATTGTGATGTACATAGGATCACTATTAGTCGAAACCAACAACAACATATGTTTGAAGTATTATCTTAACTTAAAAAAATTAAATTTAAAGCTAAGGAAATCTGTTTTCAGATGGTTAGTACTGGCAAGATTTATTACTCATTATACGCTCATGTTCCTCACAGAAAAACATTTTTTTCTGTTGCAATAAAATTGATTTTTTCCCATAGATGCCATCCTGTTACTGTGCTCCTGGCCACTACCACTCCAGTCAGCCTCAGTATCGTCCAGTTCCTTCTGTCCACTACAATTCACATCTAAACCAACCACTGCCACAGCCTGCACAACAGACAGGTGAGTTGTGCTTCTTACGTCAGGAATTCTTCATCTGTGTCTACTACTGTTCTTATCCTCTTTATTTCACTTTTACTGGTAAGATACTACCAAGCTCAGTCTTGACAAGGATGTCAGATATATACCTACATGTGCTATCTCAACCAATGAGATTAAAAGAGTGGGTAAACCTTAGCATCCTCTAGAAAACATCACACTCCCAGGTTTATATGCTGAAAGGTGGGGAGCCAAATGAAAAAATTCTACTGGGCCAAACAGTAGCGTCATGAGCAGCTTCAGTTGTAGTGGAAACTTCACTACCATTATAATAGAAACCGTCTTTGCTGCCAGAAAATGGAGCCATGAAAACAGCAGACAAGAGGGGTCCATAGGCAAGAATTCTTCTGAATGGCTAACCAGAGCAAGGACCCAAATCACCTTTGATCAAGAGCACTCACGTAGTGATGATCTATGGTATCTTAATCAGAGTAGAATGCCTTTAAACGGAATGATGCTTTAACACATCTTTTCTGTGTTTTCTTTCCCATTTTGTTGGTTGTATAGTGACAGTGATTTTTAAGCCAAATATAATCTAATACTAAGCATTTCAATAGATTGAAACTTAGCATTCTTTTCCTTTTGCCCCTTTTCAAATTTCCCTCAGGATTTAGTATAAATAGCCATGATCTCAGTATAAAACTCTCTTAATAATTTTATTGAACTCAGAATGCTTCCAACCTTAGTGTGTCCTCAATTTTTAATGTAGTATTTGTACAGCCTTTCGTAACCCTGAGAATCATAGTAGATTTTTTTTATTATTATTACTTTCTGTGGAACTTCTAAAGCTGCTTGTCAATCCTGGTGGCTCTCAGAGCATGTTAGTATGACTCACCATGGAACATAACCCTCCACTCCACTGAGGCAGTTCACTGCTCTGGATATTGTGTGGAACTCTTAGGGTTGCACAAGTGCGAGAGGAAAACACCTTTGCATTGGGCAATCTGATAAACAGTTCTTTCTTCTTTGTTCATGCAGAATTTTCATTAATCGTTATGACTTACCAGTTTCCTATACCATGTGTGAGTCTTACTTAGCACCTTTGCACAGAAGCTTCTGGTACCCTAGTCTGTTACTCCTGGGAGTTGTTTTATACTTAGTATGTAGGTCTCTTCTTTTTCAAATGTTGCTGATCCTGTATTATATGTGTGATAAATGTTCTTCCAAAGGATGCTGCATGCAAATATTGATCGTTGTAGCCGAGTTAGAGTTTGTCCTCATCTCAAATGTGACTCTCTTTAGTTTCCAGTTTACTTGAAGTCTAGCAATATATTCCTCTTCAAGCAGTATAAACTAGGATGTTTTCTAACTTGGAAAGATGTCATAAGTTCTTCTTTACGTATGGGAACCAAGATTTTGGTCATGAATTACTATTACTTCTAGCGTTGAGCACATGGTTGGTTCATTCTAATGTAGAAATGGTTTCCTGAGTGTGTATGGGCCTCAAGTGAATGTCTTTTCATATTGCCTTTATTCTTGACTTTAACTCATTGATTTTTGTCTTGTTGTTTTTTTTTCCCTTTTTCTAAAATTATAATGTAAGTTCTGTCTGGTGAGCATGATAATAATAAAAAGAAATTTACCTTCTCTCTACTTATTCAAATACCTTGTTTAACTAGTTAATTTAGTGCATCGACTCAGTACTGACCCAAAGCGACCCTGTATAGGGTTTCCGAGGAGCAGCTGGTGAGCCTGAACTGCCAACCTTGCAGTTCAAACAGCTTTGCCGTCTGGCGCATTAACCCACAGCGCCACACCAGGACTCCAATTTAGTGCATTAGTATACCATATTAATGAGGCAACGATTCTTTGTGCAGTATTTGTAGGATCTTACTAGTTCTTTTCCAAAACTGAATGTTTATCACTCACCATGGCCAGATATCTGTGTGTCATCAGCATGTGTGTGTCGTCAATAAGGTTTTAATTGTGGTGTTTTCTCCAGCGCTAGTTATGATGAGACCTAAGGAAACAATAAGAAAGATAGATTCTGGATAGTGGGGCGCTCAGAAAAGAAAATCATGTCTTTGGGTAATTTTTGACATTGACACATTCTTAACACTTTATAACTAGAGGTTTCCCTTTGAGCTGTTTTCTGTATTATACTCTTAATTTGTGGCTTAAACTAATTTGATCTAAATTCATTCAATTAAAAAAATAAAAGAAATAAATTCTGAACATATCCTTTTCTGAAAGGAGGAAAAAATTGTTATGCTAGTAAGTGTAGAGAAAGTTTCACTGCCAACGATTGTGCTGGTGATTGTACCTTTGGAATTAGTAATATGTTGTTGTTAAGTGCCATTGAGTCAATTCCATAGGGTTTCCAAGGAGCAGCTGGTGAGCTTGAAGCACTGACCTTGCAGTTCAAACAACTTTGCAGTCTGACGCATTAGCCCACAGTGACCCACCTGGGAATTAGTAATATAGACTCTTAAATTAAAAAGTTATCTGTAAAATGATCAGAAACCACAAAAAGAAACTCATGCTTCACTGAAGAAAAACACCTAAACATCCAAAAAAAAAAAAAAAAAAGTTTAAATATTGTGGGGAAAAAACATTGCTAAATATAAAATAAATTAAAAAGGGGGAAAGGAAACTTTAAACCTTATATATTGAGCAAATGCCAGGTCTACCCAATAATGCTAGTCATAGACTAGTTATTCATTTAAAAACAAACACACAAACAAAATTACAAAAAGAAATAGTAAAATATAAAAACAAATTAATGTTTTATAGACCCTTGGACAAATAATTTTTAGCGGACTACAAAAATTTAAAGAATTCCTTTCTTAAATTTTGTAATTCTTTACTGTGACAGAGCACAGAATGTCACTTCTGTTTTAGATGATAGAAGTGATAACTGAGCAAGGAAAAATAATCTGCATTATGGAATTCTTGCTTTAATAAACATTCCTTAAACTGTGCTGTGAAGGGAAAGTTGTCATATAAAGACTTAAGGATTCTTGGTGTGCTGCAGTACACTAAGTACTGGATTGCTAACTGCAAGGTCAGTGGTTCAAACCCACCAGCTGCTCCTCTGAAACCCTACAGATGCTCACTGTGAATCTAAAATCAAAAGACTTTTATAGATAGGCAACAGCTAACAAAACAGCATTTATTTAGGTTTGTGTGTCCTAATAGAAAAGTAAAATGTACTGGAAAATGAACAACGTAATGTAATGTGTCTGTTCTTTTGTTTTTGTTTGTTTTTACAATAGTGTATGTTTCCACCTCGGTAATTTACATTTGTGAATGTAATTGTCATACTTTCTGGGTTCTTTTGGATTTTTTATTTTTCTACATTCCACCATCTCAGTTGCATTAAAATGAGAATCAATTTGTCACATGTCATATGTTTTTGTTTCCTGTCATACACTTGGCCACCTAGCAAAGTATCAAGAAGCTTGTTATTTTCTTTTCCTATATGATAGGGTGAAATTAATTACTGGACAGAATAATGAAAGCATTGGTGGGTTCTGAGCAATCGTAATTCACTATGGCACCAGTAATAATGTATAAACATTTAACTATATTTTAAGGAAATTTCATACTAAATTAACAATCCCAATTGAGTCAAGCATTCTTCTTAGACCAGGTAGCATGTAAGTAGTAGAAATAATTGAGTTTCCTATCATTTTTCTTTGTGAAGTAGAGAGAAGACTGGGAAAATATCTAAAGGAGAAAGTGTTTTTGTCTTCCATCCACATGTGTTCATGTACCAGTTTTTCTGGACAGTAAACTTCCATATCTGTCTTGGGAACTGGATTGAAATTGATACTAACATTACTCCTGAAGAAAGAATATAACAGTGTTTTGTTACAGATGTGAAACTACTGATTATGGTCATTCAAAACAGGATTGAGTGAACCCATAACAAGAAAACAAAAGAAATTCTGGCTTACCTAAGGGTTTTCAAAACTGCATTTATATAGCAGGAACGAAAACCAAATTAGGAATCACAATCCTGACAGCCCACATCTGTTTCTAACTACTGCTTGGCATATCACTTAAAACCCTTGGGTTTCTCTTTGTAGTTGTTGTTAAATGCCATCAAGTCGGTTCTGACTCAGCAACCTTGCATAGTTTCTGAGGAGTGGCTGGTGGGTTTGAACTGCCGACCTTGTAGTTCAAATCGACCTTGTGGTTGAGTGCTTATCCTGCAGCACCACACCAGGACTCCGAAACAAATGCCATTGGCATGTATCAAAATAACACCTTCGGTTTCAGTGTGCTCACTTTAAAAGTAGGGGGATTTTACCATTATTGTTTCTTGAAACCTCTTTGTGCTTCAGAATTCCTTGATTCTGTTTGTGTATCTCATGTGAGCCATTTTTAGATTCACAGAGGTGGGATAGACTACTAGAGAATTGGTCTGCAATATCTTAGCAATTTATTATCGACAGCTGGAGTCATGCATGCTACTGTTTCAGAGTATCTAGTTACTTCCTAGTTGCAGTAACAGAAATGATTCATAAAATTTGCAACTTGAATACAATAAAGTATGTTATATATAAAGAGAATGAACTATAAAGAAACTTTTCCTGCAGGTAGTAATTATAGAAAAAATTGTGGGTTTGTGAAGCCTTGGCTGTTTTCTATGTAGCTGCTTTCATTCTTATAACTCTTTTGCAAAGTTTGCAGCTTCACCATATATGTTTAAATACTTGGCACTAATTTGCCTTGTTCCTGAGCTGTTGGATTCGGGGCCGTAGCACTGTCTGAGAGGTTTCCATTTCTCACAGTGAACCGGTCTCTTTTTCAGCTGCTTCCTGGCTTCTTTTTTATTCAGGGTTCCACTGCCCTTATTTTTTTTTTTTTTTTTTTTAAGAGCTGTATTAAGGTATTAACATTTGCTGATATTTTCCATTAATTGTAATGCCTTTTAATAATGCATCATAGCACAGAAATAGGTATTTGAATTTAAATGTCACCTTTGGCTTAATCTAATTTGCCTTTTAAAAATTTTG